GAGCCTAAGAGACTAATCATTAACTTACGGATTTAACTTATAATGTAAAAAAATTTACCTTAATTTTTATATTTATAACATGTTACCTTAATTTTTTTTATTATAAATTTATAATAGGTAAAATAATATTTCAAGATTATTAAACATCTATTTCATAACCTGAATGGAAGAAAAAAAATTGTGATGGCTCTAGAATTCAACAATTTATAATGTACCAATAAAGATGTTTGATGAGGATAGATAATGCATTAATTTGATGGGACTTTTTAAGAAAGTGAAAGGCATTTGGTCTGTATTGAGCAGGCCCACTTTGTAGTGCTTTCACAAGAACTGTTCATTCATGCGAGAGATGAATTTGATTGGCTTCAAAATCATTTACAAAAAATCTTCCTAAATTAATCAAAATCTCATTGCATCCTATTCATGTCTGCCCCTATCATTTGTTTATGTTGTGCTTTCCACAAAATGGTACTATCCAAAAGAATTGAAAACAAAATATAATTCCATCATGTTTCAAGAATTTGGGTGTGTTGAGGATGATAATTCAAAGAAAACAAGTTTCGCTTCCAGCACCTAAAATATGAAACAACAATGATTCATCCCACTAAAAACATCACCACTAATAGCACTAATGCATTAAAAAAATAAAAAAAATAAAAAAAAATTACAACTCCAAGACCAAAACATCACATCATTCATGGCGGGACCCACTGCCACCTAATTAGTGGGAGCACTAATTAGTGCTCCCAAGCATTTTTCAATATGAAAACTAGCCTTTACACATAAATTTAAATTTGTTCAAACAAAGAAAAATATTCTATTTAAAGCTTGCACAAATTTATTTACTTATTTATTTTGGAAAAAAATTTAATTGTGACTGTAAAAAAAATATATACTGATAATTGTGAAAGTGATATATACATTTTTTTTATATAAATATTCTTGTGGATAGCACTTGAACAAACATATTATAATCATCTTCTCTATTATTCTCTAATATTTATCAGTATATTATTCTACAATTGATTTAAACAGTGATTGAATTGTACTCAATAATATCATAGAGTCTGAATGAATAAAAGAATATTTTTCTTAAGTATGTGGACTAGTGGCCACATGATCTACAGTCAACCACCCTGTGGAAAATACATTGAGATCTGTTGGCTCAACAAAAGAAGAACTTGAAATCAAAAACCCAAATCAGTTAGATGATCACCACCTTCAATGTCATTTTCCAATTTGAATATTGTCCTAGCTAGATTTAGGCAGCCACTATAATGACAGGAAATAAAAGCTTCATATCAACATCTCTAAATTTATTCATTTCATGATATAGATGATTCCATCTTAACAAGGGAGGATTTTAGTTTTTTTACTTTAACTTAATGTTGTTGATTTTTTTTTTATTTTAAATGTATTATCATTAATTATAATGCAATAAATTCAAATTTTATTTTATTCAAAATTTATTTTTATAATTAGGAGCACTTGTTAGTAACACCCATAAATAATTGAGCTAATTTTTTTAAGCATCGATTACTACAAATTTACAGAGAGTGAGAGAGATTGATTGCTATGTTAACTATATCGACCAACTGGGCCAATTAAGAATTAGCGATAAAAGGAGGACAGGGGACAAATTAGAGACCTAAACTGTTTCCCTAAATCAGACACTAACGCTGTGTTTGGTTGGGGAATTTAAGGAGGGAATTGGAAAGGGAAAGGGAAAAGTTAGGTGAATGTGAATAAAATATACTTACATTTCACCTAGTTTCACACACCTTTTCCCTTTCTTTTTCCAAATCCCTCTCCAAATCCCCCAACCAAACACAGCATAAGTCAAAGAGGGGCTTATAAGCAAACCATGTGGTTGCCAACTAATCACTTCGTAATTATCCAATCTTATAAAAAAAATTAGAAAAACACTTCATGATTATCAAGTAAGGTAATAACAGTTTACTCATCTGTGTGGTTATAGCGTAATGCACATTAGTCTCGGGTGGTTTGAACTAAGTACCAAATTAATCGAAATAGTTAATAATATTACACACGCTGATTAGGGCCAGTTTTTGCTTTTCTTTGTAGTTCTGTTCTTCAAGCTTTTTTTTATTCTAATTACGCAGCCAAAAAAAAAAAAAGACTGCTTTTTTCCTTCATTACAGAAATTAAAATATAATTATTTTCTCTTATTCATGTACTATGGGGTAAAGAAAAAATTGCAAAACTAACCTTTTTTTCTTTTTTTTAATAAGACAAATATATTAACTTAAAAGGATATTTTCAGTATAGAAGATAGAAAACTAATAAGGAAAGACCACACCTATCCTTTTCCAAAACAATATGCAAAAAACGAAGGAGATGATGATAGAATCGTTGAATAGACAAAAGAATTGCTGTAAATTTAGTGAGAAGATCAAGAACTTGTTTGCCATCCCCATTCACAAAACAAAAATTACTAATAAGGAAGGACATACCTATCATTTTCCAAAACAATATGCAAAAAACAAAGGGGATGATGATATAATCGTTGAATAGACAAAAGAATTACTGTAAATTTAGCAAGAAGATCAAGAACTTGATTGCCCTCTCCGTTCACAAAACAAAATTACTTTGCTAAAAGTTCTGTAGGAGTATTAGGCAATCTTACAAAAGAGTTTATATACATATTCTCGTCTAGCACCTGTGTAGAGCATGTAAAGTTTTAAAACCGTCAAATTTAACAATTAAATTTTTGTATTTGGCATTAAATACATTCTTAAGACTAGTGCATAAAGCTCATAACTCAAATCATTTTATTGGTGGTGATGCGATAGGACAAGTAAACGAATCAAAAAAATAAAGCTTGGTGGTTGAGAAAACCTCCTAACCCTGCAAGAACTAACTTTAGTACAACACTTATCATGGAAGTTTATTAAAACTTTTAATTGCAATTTGAAAACAATTAAAGGGGTATAACTACTACCCATAACCATTTTTTTTAAAAAAATTTCTCCCAAATCCCAATTGTACATCATATTTATTATTTCCTCTTACCAAGCATGGATGTTGGGCCCTGCTAATACATGCAATGACAGCAATGCATCATCCTCCCAATAACCATGAATTAGACTCTCAGTAGTGGACATTAATAGCCTGTCTGCTCACCAACTAGTGCCATATTCTTTTCATCACAAGCCATTGTCTTCTTCCATCACATTGGTATAGAAGCTTGTAAGGATCCAATTCTATGAGGATAATATTCGAATTTTGTAACACAATTTTGTAATTATAAATTGTGGGTTTTAGGATTTTCAATGGATGAATATGAGTAAGAAAATGTGATAGTGATATTGTATAACTTTTGAGTACAAAGACGGTGATATAATAGAGACAAAGAGGGGGATGAAGAAGACTTCCCTTGGGATCATTAATGAAACACCCTCTGGATTGAAGGACACAGAAAAAATGAATCCTACAGGCTACAGCTGGGGAAGAATGGAAACTGATTTATAAATAAATTTTTTATGTATAAAATACATTTAGAAAGAATATTAATCATACTAATGGGTGTTTTGTCTAGAACTGGAAGTACTGTATGAAATATCACTACAAATTTTATTTGTATAGCATTAAATAATCTGAGCACATGCAAGACCTATAGACCTTAATGCTGTGTTTGGTTAATTAGGAGATTTAAGAAAGAATTTAGAAAGGAAAATGAAAAATGAAAGTGAAATATGTATAAAATATACTTACATTTCACGTAGTTTCACACTCTTTTTTTCCTTTTCATTTTTAAATCTCTCAACCAAATATAGTGTAAATGAGCAATTAACTATATCACATTTTACCTAGTTTCACACTCTTTTTCCCTAATACAGTGTAAATGAGCAATTAACTATATTACAAATATCACACAACATAATTTATGTGATACTTTATGACATTCACTTTAGCAGAAAATTTTATAAATAGAACATATTGATTCATATTGTTAAATAATTGAGAAATACTCCCAAAATTTCTCATAAATCAAAAGTATCACCTACACACGTAATACTCGAGCATGGAATAATTTTGCCTCCTATAATAGTATATAGTCCTTGTGGGGTTTGCAAGTGGTAATTACTAAAACACCCCCGTGACCCAAAATTAGAAGCACCCACACCTCACAAATGAGACAAAGTAGTAGCCAAAACCTAACATCGGTAGCAGTAGTATTTTACACGGATTATGCTGCACGTTCATTGAACTCAATCTCACATGCCTTCTGATCCAATCCAACCGTCCATCCCCAGATCCAATCAGCAAACACCCTTTGTTCACTGCATCAGAATAAGTACGTTTCATATGGCAAAAGTGGCTACTTCCAGTAAATTGTACCAGATATAACATCTATAACTTAGATTTTGGGTTTAAATTTGTGCTTAGTTAAAGTATACGATAGAGACTAGATGAATGTCTCGTATTAAATTTATTTTTTAATTTTTTATATCAGTAACTTGTACCAAAAATAAGTTATTGCCTTCATGTCAATTTGGTCAATGTAATTTCAATCATATCAAATCTGTCTTTTAATTTTTTAAATTATTTCAATTTAATTCAATAGGTAATATCTATTAAAACAATAGATAGAAATCCAGGGTGAAATATTTTATTGAAAAATAAATAGACAATTTCAAATTAGATACTAATCCCTCAATTATTTTTAAGAAAGTGAGTGAACTATTTTACTGTTAATTTTAATATAATTCTTAAAAGAACATTATTAATTAGAATAAATTGACACAAATTAAAAATTTTAAAATAAAATTACAATAACTAAATTGGTACAAGACCAATGTGCTCAAAAATTTTTTAACAAGCTCGATTCGATTATGGTTCACGTGGCATAATTGGGGAGCTTCCTCTCATTTTCTTTTTGTTATTCACCTATTACAATGACCCAGAGATCACATTTTGCTTGTCACAGCACACATGTGTCTAATAAATAAAACAGCCTCAGATCACATCAATTTTGTAAAAAATAAATAAATAAATAAAGAACAATTAAAATTCTGTTCCAATAACAATAAAGACCCACATCATTAGTGTTGAAAGCTACTCAACATTTACATGAAGAAGAGAGAGATAGATCTACTGATATATACAGATCAGTTGTTTGTTGCTTTCTCAATATCTCAATAATGGCAGCTTAGAAGGTGGTGGAAGTGACAGAGATGGGGAAGACAAGCAAGTGGATTCGAAACTTCCTGACAGGAAAGAAAGACAAACAAAAAGAAAAGGATCAGATTCTGGGTCTGCCCACTTCACACCGAACAGAGAACCCCACTACTCCGATTTCGATCACTCCCACGACTCCGAAGGAGAAGCGGAGATGGAGTTTCCGGCGATCCTCGGCTGCGGCGGCTGGTCAGAACGGTACGGAGAGCATTGCCACCACTCCGCCGCCGCCGGCGGTGTTGGAATCGGAAAATGAGCAGAGGAAGCATGCAACGGCGGCACAGGCCTCTGCTGCCGTGATCCGGGCAACCGCTGCCGGAAGAGGCACTGCTATTGAAGAGGCTGCTGCCATAAAGATCCAATCTGTTTTTCGTTCTTATTTGGTATGTACGTAGTTGTAATAAACTATGAATGTTACAATTCTTCTCTCTAAAAATGTTTATGTATTAGATATAATTGAACATATCATCTGCAAATGCATGTATGGTTTGGTTTATGATTTTTTATTTTTTTTATTTTTTAGAAAGATTGAAAAATTTAGGCATGATATTTATAGTTTATCATTTTTTATTTTTCAAAAAATATATTTTGAAAGCAAGCTAGAGGGTGGCCGGCCAGAAATAATGGCTAGAGGTGATTGCCACCGGTGAACAGAGGTGGATTACTTGATGAACCCAATTGCCATCGAGTAGGGGTGATGGCCGGTGGTAGTGATCGAAGGGTGTCACTGAAGACGGTGGCCAGCAATAGCGGTTCAAGATTTTTAGAGATGTTAGACTAAATATCAAAATTAGGCATTATTCAATTAAGCCTTTGAAAATTTGAAGCATTCAATAATAAGATTTTTTTTTTTTAAAAAAAAAAATATGGCCAAGAGGCAACAATATAAAGTAGCTTAATAATTGAGTCGCGCTAATGTTGTGTTTGGTTGAGGGATTTGAGGAGGGATTTGGAAAAGGAAATGGAAAAGGTAGGTAAAATATAAATAAAACATGCCTAAATTTCACATAGTTTCACACACCTTTTCCCTTTCCCTTTCCAAATCCCTCTCCAAATCTTCCAACCAAACACACCATAAAGGTAGAGTATGATTGGAGGTGGTGGCGACAGTAATGGGAGGGATGAACAACAAACGAAACAATTAAAATTTAGTAAATTTTTTTTTAATTATTTCTCTTTCCAATATTTAAATTTTTTTGAAATTATTAATAAATAAATTTTAACAAAGAGGAGTAAATGTTGATGTGAAGTGTTACATTTTGCAGGCAAAAAAAGCACTATGTGCATTGAAAGGCCTAGTGAAGTTGCAGGCATTGGTGAGGGGTCACCTAGTGAGGAAACAAACCACTATGAGCCTGCGGTGCATGCAGGCTTTGGTGACAGTTCAGGCTAGAGCTCGCGCTCAGAGGATCAGAATGGTTGAAGAATCCAAGTCTATTATCAATCAGAGCCAATTCAATTACAGTCATAGACAAACCACACAGGACAATAGGTTCAAGCATTCATATGTGAGTCTCATATAGTCTTCTCTATCCACCATAAATTTCTGCAGTCCTGTTATTTAGAAATAAGATGAAAATATCAGATGATGTTCATATCTGATAAAATTGAAAACATTTTGATTTCAGGTAGTTTAATTTTGAATCGATCTATTTAAGAACTCGGTTAAGAAATTGAATAATCTAGAAATATGAAAACAGTAACAGAACTAGACACATAATGTATATTCTATATTGAAATGATCTATTCAAGAACTCTGGTTAAAAGATTGAGTAAAAGTCTATAACATAGAAACCAATGACACAACCGGATGGACACAGGAGATTTTTCATAAATGAGGATGACTTGTTAAAATGATGAGAAATGTGGTGATGAATTTCTAAATCAATGATCTGCAACATTGTCAATGTTCATGTAGGAGATGGATAGCGGCATGGAGGAGAACATCAAAATTGTAGAAATGGATATTGGAGAATCAAAATTGACTACAAAGAGCAGAAACAGCTATCCAAACAACCCACAAACAGAGTGTACTGGACATCGATTTTCCACACATTCCGCACCAAATCGCTCATACTCAAAGCCCGATCACCAAGAGCTATCACCAGCACCGTCAGCACTGACTGACATAAGCCCGAAAACTTGCAGTGGACATTTTGAGGACTACCCATTGGGCACAGCTCGAAGCAGCCCTTGGTATCACTCTTCTGTGTCCAAGCCCGACCCTTCCACAGCCCCTTTCGCCTTTCCAAGCCACGAATATGCCGAGTCTCTCTGCTATGAGTACCCTTTCTTTCCAAACTATATGGCTAATACTGAGTCTTCAAGGGCCAAAGTGCGGTCACAGAGCGCGCCAAAGATGAGGCCAGACTCATTTGAGAGGCAACTGAGTAGGCGGAGGCCTTCACTGGAAGGAAGGAATATTCCCCGGGCTGTGAGGATGCAGCGGTCATCCTCACATGTCGGTTCCACAGCTCAGAATTATCAGCACCCGTGGTCAATTAAGCTTGACAGGTCGAGTGTTTCGCTTAAGGACAGTGAATGTGGATCAACTAGCACGGTTCTCACGAATACCAACTACTGCAGATCTCTCGTTGGATTTGATGTGAGCAGAGTTCAATTCAGATTGAAATAATTCAATAAAAGCTTGTGTTATATATCATTTGTGTTTTTGCCAATGCAGGTTCATGGAAATAGGTACTGAAAGTGCTTTTTTCATCGTTGGGTTATGACTCAATTGTTGTGAATGATCCGGGTAGAAACAATGTCAGAGAATTGACAATCGATCAAAGCTAGAAACAGTAAGGTGTTTGATGTAGAAACTGCTAAAAAAAATTCTGCAATTTTTCATCTTTATTTTAATCTTGAGGCCCAGTATGTTGTTTCTGTTTTGCATTTTTGTGTTTTCAAATTATCTGGTCGCTGAACTTGAATTGTGTTTCCACAGCCCCTAACCGTAAGGAAAATGCATTGTAAAAGGACCGCAAATTGTTCATAGAAATTCTATTGAGTTTGAATTTTATTGTTTATATATATTAAGTAATTACTGCATTCATAAATTATCATTTACAATTTGTGCAGTAGTTGGTTATATAAGTAAGTAAATGTGCTGACAGTCTAGTCTGGAAATGTTATAGCTACAGCCTTGTTTTGTTTTTTGAAAACAGCTTTAGACCCAGCCTGCAGTAAGTAGCTGAATCTAATGTTTCCTGAACATGTCCCAACTTTAAACATTAAAACATTTTTGTCCTTACAAGTTACACCAGACAGTGAAGAAATTTGTGGAGAAACCTATGAGTAATGAAAATCAAGATTTTAAGAACAAAAACTCCTCCCTTTTTTTCTTCTGATTCTTCCTTGTTCATTTTCTTGTTCTTTTCATTTCCTTTTCTTTTTTCTTTTCTATTTACAAGAACCACCAAACGGAGCTTAAGAAAAATAAAGTTTCAATTCAATTTCAACTCTTGTTCTCTCTCTCTCTCTCTCTAAATTCATGTGTTTGTGATTTAGACCCAATGGTGATTTAATTGGGCTGAGCTTCCCTTCAATCCGTGATGGATTGGAGGATGCTTTTGGGCCCGTAGGGACCCATCATGGAACTCGTTTCGATAATCTGAACCGTTCAATGTGTAAAACTCGTCGAGTACTATATGGCTGTAAAAAATCACGTTGATCGAATATCGATAGTTATCTCATCGAATCAGATTTCTGTCAATTGTTTATTTTTTCACCGTCTATTTTTTTTAATAAAAAATTAATTTGATCACATAGTTGTCGATATCCAATCAACGTAATTTTTTATAAACATATAATACTCGAAGAAATTTTACACATTCAACGGTTCAGATTATCGAAACGGGACCTGTGGTGGGCCTTCATGGGCCCAATAATATACCCCTCTAGTCCGATCACGAACTGGAGGGAAGTCAACCCAATTTAGCTTTCGTTTGGGACGTGAGTTGCCTTTTGGCTTTTCGGTTATTTTAGCTTGGGATTTAAAAGTCTCGTTTGAGATGAGTTTTTTTGACTTTTTTAACTTTTGTATGAGAAAAAATAAAATGATTATAATTTGAATGTGACATTTTATCTTATTGATTTTTTAACATATTTTATTTTTTTGTGACTAAATAGTCTCAAAATCACATACCAAAGATAGTCTTAATTAGATGGTTTTAAACCTCGTAATAATTTTGATTATTACAAAAATAGTATTGCAAAACTAGTTATACTTTTAGACCATGTTTGTTTGGACGGATTGGATTAGGTTAGATTATTGACTAATAGTCTTAGAACTATGAATTTTTTATATTATTTATCATATCTTATGTTTGGATTGAATTAAGATTATAAGGAGGGATTAATAGTCCAGACTTTGACTTAATCCTTCAATTTATATCTCATCCTCTTCTGTGGGATTGAATAGTCCATCATATGTGAGATATTATATTTAAATAAATTGTTGGTACATATTTGAATTGTTTAACTAAATATCGAATTAATAATTTAATTTCAAATCCATATCCACTCAAACAAAGATGAGCATAGGGTTTGATTGCGGTCAATAGGGGTTAGCTGAGAAGACCGGGGTGTTGCTGAAGCTCTGTATGCGATCATGACATTGGCCTTAAGTCGTTGGGACCTTAAAAGGATCACATGACTTTTTATGACTAGCATAATGGCTTGTCTATGCAAACTCTCTGGCTTCACTTGTTGAGATCATACAACCATGATGCTAACCGTCCATGCTCCACCGACTAAATCATTTATGTAAAAAAAATAAAAATAAAATAAAAAATATATCAGATATGAAGATCACGTGATCTTTGATGATATGGGCTCTTTTAGAAAGTGAGTTAGGCCTCGTTTGGAGGGTAACTATTTTATTTAAAAAGTTAAAAAGTCACTATAAATTGTTACATCACTTTATATACTTTTCTGCACATCTAAGGATCACATGACTTTTTATGACTAGCATAATGGCTTGTCTATGCAAACTCTCTGGCTTCACTTGTTGAGATCATACAACCATGATGCTAACCGTCCATGCTCCACCGACTAAATCATTTATGTAAAAAAAATAAAAATAAAAATAAAATAAAAAATATATCAGATATGAAGATCATGTGATCTTTGATGATATGGGCTCTTTTGGAAAGTGAGTTAGGCCTCGTTTGGAGAGTAATTATTTTATTTAAAAAGTTAAAAAGTCACTATAAGTTGTCACATAACTTTCTATACTTTTCTGTACATCTTTTCGTAAAAAATTAAAAAGTTACTAAAGCACTGTTTGAGAAGTTAGTTTGGAGGGTTTTTTGGCTAAAATAGTTATAAAAAACAAAATAGGCTCTTTAGCCTAATAAGACAAAACATTACATTCAATTCATAATCATTACATTCTTTCTCTCACAAAAAAGTCAAAAAAATCAAAAATCCTTCACAAACTAAGCTTTTTAGCCCCAGACTAAAATAATCAAAAAAGCCAAAAAGACAAAAAACTAATCCACTTCCCAAACGAGCTCTAAAATAACTTGTTCCCAACCAAAGCCTTAGTAAGCAAAAATCAACTTTTAACTTATTTTAAATTACATTATTTTCTCATTTTTTACATATTTTTTTAAAAAAAATTAAAAAATCAATTTTTAATTACCTTTCCAAAACAACTCACAATTTACTTTGATATAAACAATTCCAATTATGAAAGTGAGTCCAGAGAATAGCTCACCCAAAAACACAACTCTCCTTATTGTGGGCTTTGGGCTTTGTATCTTTAGGGCTTGGAGATGAATATTTTACCGGTATTATTGAACTAAGCTAAGATTCTATGCCAATATATTTTTCATGTTGGATTTCGGATGAAGAATTCTAATACCCCGTTGTCCCCGCTCATTTATAAAAGATTTTTTTAATTTTGTATTATTTAGTTACATAATTAACTATAAAATAAAAAAGACAAACAATAGATTTTTTTTTTATGACTAAAATGAAAATATTTTTAAGAGACCTAAAATTTTTACAATTGAATTTTGTTAATGATCTAAATTCATATAAAATAAGTGTTTTTTAAAAAAGAAAAAAAAAATAGTGGTCTATGACTTATCAACCCATAATTTATTTAAAATTATCATCTTGTGATTCAAATTATTTTACATATGGATCTCATACTGCTCAAACTTAATCTCTACCATACAACACACCATCCAAAAAAATCTAAACAATTATATATCTTTTCTCATAAATATATATGTTAAGGATGCCACCAAGACTAGTGGCTAAGGTAAGGTAACCCCTTATCTTAAGTTATATCATAGAAAAATTATTAAGCCGTCTGTCTCATTACGTGATAATATTTTCATTAATTACAAATATCATATTTCTACTAGCTTGATTATTTAATATTAAATCATAATCTCCATTCTTTTCACCAATTATTCTTGAAACACAACTTTGCCATCTTCCAAAACTATCAAATAATTTATCTTAAATTTATGTTTACACAAATTTGAGATGTCAGTGTCCAAACTACAAATGTCTTTCCTCTCTATGATGTATTATAAATATATATTACAATCCTGATATCTTAATCTTGTGCTTCACCCACAACGATCTCCGTCCCTGGTTCATCCTTAATAACTTTTGTCTCTCTAATTAAATTTCTTCCACTTTTCTTTCTTCGTACAATTTGGTTCTCCTTCAAATTAAATATTTTTTTCCCTAATTAAACTACATTTAAATTTTGTATTTCATTTGGTTAAAATAGCAAAAACAACTTTTAAAGAAATCTCGCCAATATAATATAAAGACTATTTTAACTTTCAACAAGGACTCCACCTTTGGCAATTAGAATAACTTAAATTATTTTTTCTTTAGTAATTGTTAAGTGCAACGACTTTTTGAACATTTCTTTTTTTTTTTTTTAATAACTAAAAAAGTGCCAACTTGATTTTAAAACAAAAATTTCTACGGTTTTGTTTAGAAATGGTACAAGTTTAAAAAGTAATAATAATTAGAGGGAAATAGACAGTCAATGTCAATGAAAAGGAAAATGCCAATTTCTTCCTCATAAGACAAAATTGAAAAAGAAAATAGAGGAGAAAAAAAATCATGCAAAATGAGTACTTATCATTATCCAATAAAATGTCTTTTATAGAATTAGAAACAAATAATGAAAAACAAAGACAACAATTATGTCCTGAAGTGTCCCTTTGGCGTGGGGTCGGAGAAATTTTTGGGCTTTCTGGTCACCAACCGTGTATCGAAGCGGATCCCTCCCAAATCAAGGCTATACAAGAATTGAAGCAGCCCAACTCAACGAAGGACATGCAACATCTTGTCGAGATGGCAGCCGCGCTTAACCGATTCATAAGTCAGTCATCAGATCGTTGCCACCCTTTCTTCCGAGCCTTGAAGTCCAAGTTATTATGGGACGAAGAATGTGACAAAGCCTTAGCCGAGCTAAAGACATATCTATCTTTCGCTCCACTCTTGGTCACGCCAAAGCACGACGAAAAACTCTATCTTTATCTGGTTGTTTCTCAACATGCCGTAAGCACGATATTTGTTCGAGTAGAGGGCATCCAACATCTATCGATCTTCTACGTAAGCAAAACCCTGCTCTCGGTAGAGTCGAGATACTTGCCGCTGAAGAAACTCGTCTTGGCATTAATGACGGCCTCAAGGAAATTGGCACACTACTTTCATGCTCACACGATCGTGGTGTAACCGAGTTCCCTTTGAAAGCCTTGTTTGAGCGGGCAAACTTCTCTGGCTGAATCCTGAAGTGAGCAGTCGAGTTGGGGCAATTCGACGTCAAGTTTTAACCCCGAACTGCCATCAAAGCCCAAGCATTGGTCGACTTCATTGCGGAATTCTCACCCAGAATTCATCTAGTGTCACGACCCGAACCTGCCCCTATAGGTTTAGCATCATAACCGGCCAGTAATCCTTGGATTACCAAAGGCCTCTTGACATAATAACATATAGTAAGGGTTGCGGAAGCAAATATACAACATATACGAAGTCCATTGAGCTGTGAAGATATACATAGGACAGTT